TGGATAATTGGAAAGTCCCTGTGTGTCAACCTCTGTGCTTCGTGGCAAGGTAGACTAGCAAACATGCCCAACCTTTACTCACATTCGAGAAAACACTCCCAACAAGATTGCTTGCTCCAAAATCGAAGAGGCACCGCCCTCCGAATCTCGAGAGCCAGACTCCCAACATGATTACTTTCTCAAAAATCGAAGACACCGCTCTCCGAATCTCGAGAGCCAGACCCCCAACAAGATTGCTTTCTCAAAAATCGAAGAGGCATCGTTCTCCGAATCTCGAGAGCCAGATCCCCGACAGGATTACTTGTTCGAAAACCATAGAGGCACCACTTTCCCAACTTCAAGAGCTGGATCTCCTTGGATAAAGCTTGTCTGTAATCTTCACACGCAACATCAGCTTTCCAGATACCACATACCACTTTTTCAAAGTGCTCTGACAGAGTTAAAACTTGTGAAGCTGGCAGCTCCCACTACCGTGCTATGACCAAGCAGGGTAAAGGAATAGCATTATTATTACTTGATGTTAGGGAGACTCCTATATATGTCGACCTCCATCCCCAATGGACAGGCAGACCTGCAAAAATGCTCAACCCTTCTTCTTATCTGAGAGGGCACTCCCAACGAAGCCTTTCGAAATATTCAGCTTTCTTTCCCCCCGATAATACCTCTGTAAACAAGCTATACTAGAGCAAGAATATCTCATATCATCAGGGTTAAAAGCAAGAGTATCCCATATCATGCTTTTTCCCTGTCTTTTCCTTTGGCCTTGTTCTTACCTGCAAGACAAGGAGAAAGAGAGCAATCAGTCAGCACTTGGAATCAAGCTTCCAGCCAGGAACTGACTGCCTGGAACCCCTTACCTGATTACTTACCTGGCATTGCTCTCGAGTACTCATCTTCAACATCTTATGCTTCCAGGGAAGATACCGCATCTGCCTGAGGAACAGATAGGGCAAGTGAGAAGGATACAAGGAAGCATGTGGAGACAAGCGTAACAGCACACGTGCCGATACATCCACTACTCTGTCAAAAGCAAAAGTATCCCATATCAGCAGGGTCGAACGTACTCTAGATTTGATGGACTTGTTTTGACCCTCAAATTCTTCAGTCGGCCTTATACTCTGGAGGAAACCAGAAAACCCTCCAGCCCAGTTCAAGAATAAGCCTGTGGAAAGTTACTTCTTCAAAAGCAAAAGTATCCCATATCATCTCTTCTCATTTTTCTTCTCTTTATCCTTCATGCTGCCTGCAAGATAGGGAGAATGTGAACAATCAGCCGGAGCTCTGATTGCTTACCTTGTCTGTCACCTCTTTCAGCAGATCCCCTAGCTCGGCGACTTGGGGGACTCCTACTACATGGTTTGTATCGCGCTTGACCAAGCCTGAAACTACAAGTAAGCTTCAAGTGACATTGATACATTACCTTGTGCATCTCCACCAGTTACAGATACCACCCCTGGATGGAGGAAGAGTACTTCCAGAGAAGATGCCACATCTACCTATGAGACAGATAAGAAAAGTCAAGACGATACCACACTCCGGTACTTAGAAGTTTCGTGGTTACGAGATCATTCTCCCACAATATTTCCTAATGTCATTTGTACTAAATCATTCACTTGTACTCACTAAAGGAGAGCTTGAACCTATGTACTTGTGTAAACCCTTCACAATTAATGAGAACTCCTCTATTCCGTGGACGTAGCCAATCTGGGTGAACCACGTACATCTTGTGTTTGTTTGCTTTCCTATCTCTATCCATTTATATACTTATCCACACTAATGACCAGAGCAATCTAGCGAAGATCACAAAAAGTGACCGTTTTCGCTACCTAGGATCTATCTTGCAAGAGAACGGAGAATTAGATGAAGATCTCAACCATAGAATACAAGCTGGATGGATGAAGTGTAAGAGTGCATCCGGTGTATTGTGTGACCGTCGTAGGCCACTTAAGCTCAAGGGAAAATTTTATAGGACGGCAATAAGGCCAGCGATGTTGTATGGCACATAATGTTGGGCGCTGAAGCATCAACACGTACACAAAATGGGTGTAGCGGAGATGAGGATGCTTCGTGGGATGTATGGGCACACGAGAAAGGATAAGATTGGGAATGAAGATATCCGAGGTAAAGTAGGAGTAGCCAAAATTGAAGGAAATATGAGAGAAAATCGGTTCCGGTGGTTTGGACATGTGCAAAGAAGGCCTACTGACGCTCCGGTTCGAAAATGTGACTACGAGACAGAGGTTCAGGGCCGAAGGGGTAGAGGAAGACCTAGGAAAACTTTGGAAGAGACCCTAAGAAAAGACTTGAGTACTTGGATCTAACGGAGGACATGACACAAAACCGAGCGCAATGACGTTCTAGGATTCATATAGCCGACCCCACTTAGTGGGAAAAGGCTCTGTTGTTGTTGTTGTTGTTGTTGTTGCTGCATTATATGTAGGTACGTTTGATGGACGGAGAAATAGGAATTGTGGACAAGGAGATGGGTGAAAGAGGGACATGTTTTAGGTTTAATGTTCTGCTAATTGTACGTGATAATGTCTCCAAGGATAGCACAAAAGAAGTGGACATTGATATGGGATTTGGCCCAAGTACTTCTGATTTGGGGACAGTAGCCACTCACACTCCGAGTACTCCCGGATTGAGCATTCACACGCCAAGCCCCAGCTTGAACATTCAAACCCCATCTAGTACTCCTAAGGTTGATCGATCAGGGTCTTCTGTCGTCTTGTTGATTAAGAATGAAGAGTGTCGCAGAATTTCACAAAAGTTCATGGAAAACCTTGGGATAAAAGTATTTACGGCAAAACAATGGGAGCAACTTTCTCATACTCTAGAGAAAGCAACTAAACACAAGGGGGGCTACCATTCTCGTCATCACAGCTCTTCAGGAATATCCGAGTTGGGTTTGCAAGATTGCTTGAGCAAATCCACATCATGCAAATCTACCAACAGAGTAAAGGAGGTGCCTTTGATCAGCGCCATGGACAGAAGTGGAACCAAAAACAATAGCAGCAACAATAACATGCTGCCTCTTTCTCTCTTTAAGAAGATGAGTCTTCGGGGTGCAATGAGCTTTGTATTAGTAGTGATCGATGCCACAGCTGCACCCTTTTCAAAACTATGTAAGATTGTGACTGAATTCAAAATGGATCATCACCAGAATAGTTATAGGAATGGTAATTGGTGCAGGGTTGTTTGGTTAGCAAGTCATAGCATCAGCTTGAATGATCATGATATGTTTGATCCAGATGACGTAATCAAACACAAGGCGCTTCACGGTAGCTGTCTATACGAAGTGGTAAGACTTCTTCCAGAGTTTGGAGGTGCATTACCCAAGAGAAGGGCCACATTTCAGCAGCTTCCACACCAGGATGGAAAAGCGTTCAGAGCTCTTGCTAGTTCCTCAATATCACATCATCATCGGTCGTATAATAATCAGTTAAATCATTCAACCGACGATGAAGTTGAAGTATTGCAAGACCATAGTAATACTGGTGGTTGTTCAGGTAATGAGACACCTCGCAAGAAAACGAATTCACCAACGCTGACTCAACAATATCTGTCTCGTGTTGGCTCCGCCACATCAAGAAACTCACAAATTCCAGGTCCTCCTAGTGATCAAACACAAGAACATGCCATCGATCCGAACAGGCCCTTGATTGGAAAGAAAATTTTGGTTGCTGATGACATTGAATTGAACCGCAAGCTAGCTCATATTAATTTGACAAGGTTGGGTGCAACTGTGGAGCTTTGTGGAAATGGAAGAGAAGTCGTTGTCCTCGTTCGCGGTGCTCTAGCTAATCAAGGAAAACATGGATTCGATTATATACTAATGGATTATGAGGTAATTATTTCACTCCTCATGGTTGATCAATAATTAATGGTTTAATTATCCAATCGTTTGGTGAAGTGATTTCGCACTTCTCTTTTGGGGTGTGCTATCCACACATCCCATTTTACTTCTTGTTTATACCATATTTAGGGCCTCGTATATTTGGGCCTTGGGCCTTGTATTTGGGCCTCACACTAAAGCCCATACTTTGTAAAAGAGGAGGAGCCCCTTATTCTATAAAAGGGGACTCCTACCCTCATTCTGGAGGAGGCCTCACTCTCACTCTCAGAGGCCATTTCTGAAGCCTCTCACCCCCTCTCAAAGCTTCCTCACACCCCCTAAGCTCTAAGCTCTCTCTCTCCCTCTTCAACAGAGAAATACAATACAATCAGTGTGGACGTAGCCCAAACCTTGGGGTGAACCACGATATATCTTGTGTTATTTACATTTCATGCAGATTCACGGTCGGATTTACGTTGTTCCAAGACCATCCGGTTTTGTGCATCAACACTTCTCACACACCCCTTGATAATTTCTGTCCATTAATCTTCTTCAATTCATCTGATCCGACGGTTGAAAATTAAAAAGGTGTGTGAGAAATAAAATGGGATGTGTGGATATCACACCCCTTGTTTTGGATCAAAACTTAAAGTTGATGTGCTTTTTGGTTGGTGGCAGATGCCGAAAATGAACGAATACGAAGCAACAAGGCATATAAGGAGGGGGGAGGAGCCTTATAATCTTCACATTCCGATCATTGCATTGACTGGTCACGCATCGGGAGAGGAAAGAAGACGGAGGATGGAGGCCGTCATGGACGATCATTTGAGCAAACCGTTTAAAAGGGAACAATCGCTTGAAATAACGAAATGCATTGATGATAAAACAAATTGAAAGAGAGACGTTAATAAAGTATAGAGAGGAATATAATGTTATATGAGCTCATTGTTTTTAAGGACAAAATAAATGGTAAAATAAATAGTACCAGGATTGACTTTTTAGTGTAAAAATGTAATTTTTCGTTAAAATAAACAGTACCAAAAACTTTTTATTAATGTTTCCAAATAAAAAAAGATTGTGGGTGAGTGATAATTTTCCGTCAACATAAATAACTATAAGGGTATTTACGTAAAATGAAATAATTTTGAAAAAGTGAAGGGAAAGGGGAATTAGTGGCAGTCGAGTGAGTCAGTGGTGGAATTTTGCGATTAGGGCTCGCACAGGGAGAGAAAAGCTTCACACTTGACTTCCGGTCGTCGTCGACCTATTCTCAGGTAAATAGCTTGGAATCTCAAATTAAAAAGTCTCTCTCTGCCATACTGTGTGTGTGTGTGTGTGTGTGTGTGTGTGTGTGTGTGTGTGTATTAGCTCATATTGCATTCAGTGGAATACCCGCGGATTTGGAAACTTTGACGGATTTGGAATTCGACTGCAAATGTCAAAGTTTCCAAATCCATGTAGTGAAACTGTCTTACGAATTTCGTTAGAGCAGAGCAATCAATTGTTGTGAGCTCTGAGAAAAGGGCAAGAATTGGAGTGTGATTTTACTCCTTAGAAGGGAAATTAGTTTGATATATGGATAGGATACAGACTAATGGAAGATATGGAACGCTATTCGATTAGTCCGTAATCACAATGGCGGAGCCAAGTTAAGGGCTGCCCTGGGCTGTAGCGCAGGTAGCTTGTGGTGAAAAATAAAATTTTACATGTAATTTTGATTGATTTTCGAATGTAGCCCACCAAATATTTGGTCGCTAATTCGAATTCTCTAGGTTTAACTATATAAAATTATATAATACAGTTTGCAAACCATCTTTTTTTCTTACATTATTTTTCTCATCGCTTCTTGTACATGTACAAATTTGGATTTGTTTAATTTTAACACGTTTTTGGCTCACCTTGTGAATTTTTTTAAGCTAGCTGATACTATGAGAAATAGGGTATCAAGTTTCTTTATTTAAAAAGATTTTAAAATTTTAAACTAGCCCACCCGGTAAAAAATTCCTAGCTCCGCTAGTAATCAGCATGTTAATATTTTAGTTTGTTTAGTTTTTCCTTTGGATCCCCACCAAAAGAACACAAGAAAGTTTTTGAATTGGTTTGTACGCGAAACAAGGATTTCGGTGGTGGGTCAGTAATCACTATGTTAATACTGTCTTTCACCTTTTCATTGTTTGTAGATGCTGCACTTGTAAAGTTGTAATCGTGCAAAGCAGAATCATTCTCTCCGGTTTGATTTTATCCTCCTATTGTTGTATTGATGTCTGTCTTCATTCATGTAGCGCGAGATGACTGCAATTGTAACAGTTTACAGCTACTAGTTGAAGCATAGTAAGAACCATAAGTGACCTTTTGTCATCTGGTTTGTCAACAAGATTTCAGAACCTTTTTTGTCGTTCATGTTTCATGTCTCTTTCAAAATACAGCCATCATCTTTGATGAAGCAATTAACCATCTATAAACAAACTTTGGATATAGGACCATAAGAGAACTCGTTATGTCAATGCCTTTCTATTGTCATTGGTTAAAACTTTAAAGCTAATTGTTTCCTTGTTGGGATCAATCGTTCTGCAGTATCATGGACGCTCAAATTCAAGAAGCAGTCCCTTGTAGGCCTTGTATTAAGGTGGAATTTCAGCTCGGTTCAGAAACATATTCTGTCAAGGAGCACAAGGGCATTCTTTCGGAGCAACTGGTTTCTGTGAAAGAAGAAAGCATGAGAATATTGAAGGACTTCATCACCAGACACAATGTTCCTAATGATGTCCCTGATGAACTTGTTGAAAACTCTTCGGAAGACGATGGTGAAATCCTTGAAAAGCCTCCTGTAAAGTCAAAGAAGACGAAGTTTACTTGATTACCTCTGTATTTCTGGTTTACGTTAAAACTGTTTGTGATTGAGGTGCTCCTTTTGATGTCTTAGATAAACTGTTTTGAACTAGGTTTGGAATTACCTAGCATTAGCTACCTTTGTAGTACTTAAGTTGTTATGTTTTGGCATGCATTGTGTTGTATCATATAGGTTTCTCTATCAGCTTTTGAAACCAGTACATGCAATTATTTTTTCCGTTGCCAAAACAGTGTGTTGGTCGCACACGCACACATGGACTGATCTTTGTCATTCATACTTGTTAAGCTCACAAAGCTTTGTATCGTAATCGGTTAATCTTTATTTCTGTTTGTTGCAATTTGAAGTTTCGTGTCAAATGAGCGTATGGAAGGTGGACCAGATGTATCTGCATTTCAGTTGGCATACCACCAATATGTTCCGTTCCAACAACTTGTTTGGGTCGGAAATTCTGATAAGGAACTTGAACAAGCAATACAAAGAATGCAAATGTCTGTCGTTACCGTCTTTTTCCTTGTGGAGATGCATCGCAGTGGTAGACGATTGAATCCAATTAGATAAACTAGTCTTAATCAATGATTCCAATAATGCAAACAGCTTATGGTTTACAATGCTAAACATACAACCGATTCAAAATGGTGCGGGATTTTGTAGTAATTCGTAAAATCGATTAAAAACTGTGAAATCTCATGTCTGCATTCTCTCACTTAAGATGCATTATCCACATACATTGGAAAGGAAACTTTGAGAACCATCGGACATCCGACATATAATCTCAAGCTAAATCATCACGTATCCCCTCTAAGAAAACACTAAATAAAACATGAGAAAGACTTTGATGCAACCTAACAAAATTGGGTTGAGTAAAATGTATAATAATCTTGTAAGAAATCCTAAGATCAGGAGAAGTGTATACCATCCTTGTTGAACTGGGAAAGTAGGTCTAAAAATTGCTGTAATTTGAGCTTGGAGGACCTTTCGCCTTCAAAACCAGACTTCTTCAACACATCCAGCACCTTTTTCTTGAATTCGGATATCTCCCCTTCCGCATTACCATCCTCCACCTCCATCTCCATCCCATCATCGACTCCATCATCATCCATCTCCATGTCCTCATCCATAAACTCCATCACATCATTAGTATCCTCTTCTTGGGCTGTTGCAGGATTAAGCGCCTGTAGGGTCTTGTAATTCTTCTCGAGCAGATTGATGACACTTTTCTGCCTAAAAATTGAGCCAAGGGTTTTGTTTTTCCTATTGAAACAGATCCGCAAAAAGCCATCCCACTCCTTTTGGTTCACTTGTAAAGCCGGTTTCCTGGGCTCGATTCGAACGACAGAGGAATCCACCTTAGGCGGGGGGCGAAAATTGTTCCTTCCAACTTTGAGGAGGTGAGATACCCGGGACAAGAGTTGGGTGTTGACGGTAAGACGACAATAGAGCTTGTCACCGGGCTGTGCGACCAGTCTCATCGCAAATTCCCTCTGAAACATTATAATGGCACATCGGAAAGCAGGTTGATGCTTCAATAACTTGAAGGTCAAGGGAGATGAGATTTGATAAGGGATGTTTGCCACACATATATCGAAATAGGGAAGCTCAGTCTTCAGCACATCTCCTTGAATCACCTGTGTACAGAACCACAAGCAAACCCCTATCTTTATTCAATTCGGAATCCCCAAAACACATCAAACATATTTCTGCATAATCATACAACATAATTTCTTAAATTAAGCACAACAGTACTTGAGAAAATCTTCTGGCAAATATAATTATCATTTCGGAACAGAACTTGATGCAAATCCCAAAAACACATCACACCTAACAAAATCAACCAGAACAGAATTTGAGAACTTCTTTCTTAATTATCGATTCATAGTCATGGAAACGCTAATTGAAATTACCCAATAATGGATTTTCTAATTTAATAAAAATGCTCGGTAAATGAAATTTCTTTAATAAAAAAATTAAAAAAAACAAAGAGAAGAAGCGCTGCCTGCAGGCGGTTGGAGTGAGGGGTGCCCTGGAAGCGGCGCTGCAGCTCGAGGACCATGCGAGCGTCAATCTCGACGGCGATGACCCTCTTACCAGCTTCTAGAAGCTTCTTGGTGAGATTACCAGTACCGGGACCGATCTCGAGGATGACATCGGTGGATTTGATGCCAGACTTCTGGACGATAGAGTCGACGAGCAAGGGGTTCTTGAGGATATGCTGTCCCTTGGACTTGTGGAACGAAATGCCTCCTTGGTAGGGGGTGTGCCCGGCTGGCCTCGCCTTCTCTTTCTTCGTTTTGCCTCCCGCCATCGATGCCAATTGACAAGCTATAGTCACAGAGTTTCAGAGAAGGGTTTAGGGTTTTGTTCGCGGGTGGAAGTTGGAAGGGGAGAAAAGTGTTCGAAAATAAGACAGTGGCGCCACAGATTAGGGCTCAAAATGGGAGGTAAGGCCGATTCGGCCAAAGGGTTATAGCGTTAAAAATAACTCGGAATGACACGAAAATCATTTCTAATCAAGCGCTAGGCCGAGGCTTATGGGCCTCATTGGGCCCAAACCCCCAAATCAGGCTAGCGGGCTGGCCATTTTCAGCTCTCCAGCTTAGCCCATTTGAATGCCAACTAGCTAACGTCATGCTGTCGTTAGGTTACCGTTGGAATTTGAAAAAAAAATTTGGACGAATTTAAAAAAAAAATTATAATTTTTTTCCTATAAATACCTACACCATTCCTACAACATTGAAAACTAAAGATAAGAAGTGCCACATAGATAAGAATTCTATCTAAAATTTGCACAACTAATTACATCTTGACATATGTCACTCAAAATCCTATTCGAAAAATTATTGAGATTATAAAGATAAGAAATATGGAGAGTTACTCACGTTAGCGACACGTGTTACTAGAAATCTTATCCAAAAAATTATTGAGATTATATAAAGATAAGAAATCCGGAGGCTTATTCATTTGGCGATAAGTAACACTTAAAATATGTCTGAAAATCTTATTTTAATATGATAGTTTAATTTAATTAAAATAATAAATTATATTTGGTCTATGACCCTTTGGTCTCGTCGATTGGAGATGGTCTTTTGTCAAAGGGCTATGTTTGGCCTATGACCATTTGGCTCTTTCGGTTGGAGATGGTATAAAATATTACCTAACACTATTCATTAAAATATAATTTCTTAATATGACCTAGCACTATTCACTAAACTATAATTTATTGCAGTGCTATAGGGCTAAGGGGAGCCATTTAGCCTTCCTTCGGTTGAAGATGACCTAAGATTTTTGCAGAAATTTTAGTTTTAAACGAGGATATTTAGATGTATTATGGTTTTTTATTTTTTATTTTATAATTATATCAAAGGATACATTATGGTTTATTTCTATATAAATATTATCTATAATAAATAATTAAATTGAAGTTTGCTTAATCCAAACAACGATAACAAAGTCTTATTCAGCTAAGTAGGGTCGACTTGATGAATCTTACAATGTCATTGCACTTGATTTTGCACCATGCCTCCCATTAGCTCCAAGTACTAGTTCGTTTAATTCATATCAATTTAAATACTATCTAGAAAATACTAAGAACTTAGATTTTTAATCAAAATATTTATCATGCCAGAAGGTGTAAAATAAAAATGATATAAATGGGGGCATTATTTGACAGAAGAACATTTTGTATGTGTAGAATTCTCCTATTTTTTCTGTGGTCCTAACTTGTTATAGTAAAATTCCAAACAGCTGACATGCTATGTTGCCCATATGAGACTCATCATACTTGTCATCTTGAAGGAGTTTATACAACAAATTATCTCCTTCGGCCTGTGGTTTTCACTCCCCTTTCGGAAGGACTGCTTTACCTCAAAATGAAACAACCGGCCCTAAAGCCGGGAAATACAAAATTGAAGAGAGAGAGAGAGAGAGAGAGAGAGAGAGCTGTATACGGGAGCAAGGAAGACGGTTAGATCTTCTCTACTCAAAACCTCTACAACTTTGACAGTTTCTTCTTAAACCTTTTCGAGATGTGCTTAATCCGGGCTTGCAATTCATTTCTCTTGAAGTAATGCTGGGCATTTGACATCATAACCATTATATCATGCTTCACAGCTTCCAAGCTTCTATAATAGTCGTTCTCTAACCTCGACTGGATTAGTTCAGGGTACAATTGCACAGGAAAGCTGCAAAATATCCACAAACCAAGACATCATTATTTTCTCAAATCTTAGTTTCAGCCAAGATCGATGATAGGCAAGCATATATGTTGCGACCTTCCGCACATTCCTTCTACTTTATCAGAACTGAAATGGTTAAACCATATAATAGTGTTTCTCTACCTGTTGCAGAAATCCGCCTTCTGAACAGCTTGATTCAATTGTTGGATTGTTTGCAAGTCCTGCATCATTCACAGCATAATTAATTAATATCCTTGATGATAGAAAACAGTTTCAGAATGATTAAGTCTTTCCTAATGATAATTGGAGCTTTGAATTCCAAATCCCACAAACTAACAAGACAGTTACACGAAGTATTTGCACAAACCTTCTGTTGTAAGTTAGAAAAAATACACAGAAGCTTCTCTTTGCTTTCAGAATCAATATGGGGCTGTTCGCATGAGGATGGATCATCTACTATGGACGGTCCACGCAATTCCCAAGGACAATGCAAATGGGTTTCATCATCATTCTCATACCGAACCTCATATCTTAACCAAGGGCTATCGGGAAACTCATGTGACTTGGCCTGGCACCGAACAATTCGACCTACCCACCAAGTCCCACCTTCATCTGAAATTGAATCCCTCCACCAAACTGCGCATTCCTCCCCAGTGGTCCAGTTTCTTCCAATAGAAGCATCATACCACGTTTTCTCAACAATGAAATCATTAAAATCAATTTCAGGCAAAGTCAACTTCAATGCTTTACCAAGGATAGCAGAAGAAGGGTCTACAAATCTAAGTTTGATTTTACAGCAACTCTCCCCCGAACCAGGCAGTGAAGCATAATCGAGGCTTTCAACCTTGCAAATTTCCGCAACTTTGATGTTTTCCTTAATTGATTCCCAAGGACCCCAAGGACCCTCCTCTGAATTCTTGACTAGTTTTAGATACTCTTGATGGCCCTAACAATCACAAGCCCAAATATTAATTATCAAACAGTAAATTCTAAAGCATAAGTAACAACCAAAGGACCAGAAACCATGAATCATGGATATTAGAAATCACCTGTCTCAGGTATACAACTTCATCACCTAGCTGAGGAATATAACGGTAACCATCCTCATGTTTTGACAACATCAACCATGGCAACTTTCCAGCGGGGTTAACTAACATGCTTCGGGTTGAAGAACTTTGGCCATAGTCATTACATGAACCCTGATGACTTCTCGTAGACTTTGGTCTTTGATGAATCTGGTCACACAATTTAGCACAGGAGTCTTCTGCATCCTTTGATGTCCCCAATGTTTGGTGGCCCCATCTCAACTTAGGGCTACAGCTCAGAGAGTCCACCTTCCGTGAAGTTGCTTTGATCTTAAAGGTTCTTGTTCCGCGTATAGCATTGGTTGCAGCAGCGGGGAGATCCATTCCTGAATCATGATGGTCGTTGATATTTGTTGCATATTCTTTGACATTACCACCAGAACCTTCTGAATTAGTCCTGTGCTTGCAAACAAACTTCAAAGAAGTTGATCTGCCAGCACCTCCACCCACTTTCCTTACCCCAAAATTTGAATTTGGATCCATGCTTGAAGAATCGTTGGGGATTAAATCTCTAGAACTTGTGGAGTTTTGTGCAGGAAATTTAAGAGAAGCATAATCACCAGAGTGCTTTCTTGTAACAAACTCCTCTATCTCCGAAGAACCCTCAATTCCTTTTTGTTTGTGCTCGCCCAAAGCGGGGGAATCAAATGATGAAGATACAAGGGCCTCTTCAGTATGAGAAAGCTCTCTACTTTTGAGACCATCCAGATCTTCAAATGCACGTGTTCCAGTATGTTCCTCATCCCTGCAAGGCAAGACACCTTCATAATTTTCCTTTCCCTTAATTTTTGAATGATTACAAAATTGTTCACAATTATTCTCAGGAGTAACATACCGATGGACATTATTCATCTCTTCTATATGGACATTAAAACTAGCAAGCGACCCAGTAGCTGCTTCCAATCTGACTCTGCTATCCTGGTAACTTGTGGATGCTTCCAAAGAATTCTCTGTCTTTACAGTTTCCCCAGTATCTGTCAAATCATTGGCTATGAGATTTCTTGAAAACTTTAGGTCAACCACATCCACCGAAAAGGAATCTGGATCCACAGAGCTGTTAATAATCCTGTTATCTGGAGTGATATCTTGATATCTAGAAGATGGAGACACCAAATCAGCCTGATTATTATCTTTGAGTTTTACATCCCTTGGAGCCTCTTGCTTCTTAATCTTAAAAACCAATTTCGGCATGCTTCTGACGTTTGACTGAGACGAACAAACTACACGTGGCTTCGCTATATTGATAAACCCATGTCGAGATGGTTCTTCTTTAGTATGGTTTTGTTGCATTATCTGGAAGTCCCCATCATCACTTTGAGTGTGGAATTCTTGCTGAAGAGACTCACTATTAGATGAATCATCTTCCCAATCATCTTCTCCTTCTGTAGATGTTCCAGGGTTCTGAGAAAACACAGTTCGAGCATTGCGTGCTGCTACTCGCTGGGATCTCAATGTCTTTGCTTTAGAAGACTTCCTCTTTGAAACTTTCTGGCCACCTTTTGAATTTTTAGTTCTTTTAATCCCAGATATAATGCGATCATGCTCACCCACTCTCCTTTTCTTGACACGCCTCTCAGAAGACTCAACCTAAAGATCATTAAAATTCAATCGATGTAGGGCGAACAAAACAAAAACTGGTATAGAATCTAAAGATAGAGAGAGCATTTTTACCCTTGGTCTTTTTCTCCTTGATCGACGAATATGACTGCATCCAGCTTCACTGTCTTCTTCGCTGCAGTCTGGATCACTAGAAGAACTGGTGCTAATATTTCCTTTCTCCCCTTCACTGGAATTTTCATCAGTAACATTATACTCCGAATCAGTATCTTCACTTACAACCTCATTTTCTGGTTCCCATAACATGGCATCAATAAAATCTGGTAGTGGTTCGATCATTCTCTCCAAATCTGGCAAAGGAGGCATCATATATTCTTGGCCTGTATTGATATCCACACCAACAGAAAATTTCATGGATGATGGACGCCATTCCATGCCCAGAGCACCAAGTCTTCGTTGCTGGTATGTACTCTGATAAGGTTCGGGGTATGGTATCATACCTATCATTTCCAATCAATTTATATGATTATGAGAAAATACTGTGAAAACTAAAAATAAATTAAGAATCCACCCAGTAGGAGCCAGAAAAATACTTGAATCACATAGAGGATCTTGAAGATTCCTCCGGTAAGTGGAAAGTTGTGTCTCCTGTAACATGGATAATATGTTCCAAAATGAAAAGATATATCGATTCAATTTCTTAATGTGCAAGTTGATGCTAACTGCAGACATGGAATAAAATTCACTACAGAACAATTTAGTAATGACAAGAGCGTAGTGAGAAGATTTAACCTGATCAATAAGATATCCAAACTCATCCCGTGCAAGGGGGCGATAATCCCCAAGGAAGAACTGTAGAAGAATCACACAAACAGCCATCATAGAGGAAATTCATAACTTCAACTTGGAATCAAATAGAGGAAAGGACAAACCTACAAAACAAATTCTTACAATACCTGATCATATTCAGCATCTTTTTGAGACTCACCTTCACCTGTGTTTATTAAATATATTTGGCCAACATCGTCTGAAAGTACTATTGATGTACCATCCCTATGTAACAAAGAGAAAATGTCTCCAATATTAGCAGAAAAAGGTTAAGCATTTTAGTGTAATTAATACAATATACATGAAACAAAAATGATGGTAGTAAACATAAATCCATCTTGCTGAAAACGGGAAGAAGAGAGGGGTGAGATATTGAAGAGCTATGAGGTAGCATCAAGGCAATTAGCTTATGTCTCCTTACAAAAGTAAACCTCCACAAAGAGTAATAACTATAAAATGAGAAAACAAAATTCAACATAATTAGCTATTGTACAGCTCACTTACGCCGAAAACTTCCCATCAACCAACTTTACGTGTCCAAGTTCATATATCTTAATAGGCACGCCCTCCCATATCTAGAAACACAAAAAGAAACAACTTATGAAACAATCAGCATTAGGAGCGCAATGCAACAGAAAAGAGAACTTAACAAAGTTAGGGGATTAAGCTGAAACTCACATCCCAAACTATTGTTTGCCCATCATACCCAGCACTCATAGCAATTCGAGGATTGAAGGGATGAACATCCAAAACATAAGACTGCCAAGAGTTTAACATACAAGTACCAACAGATCAATAGATTGAAAAAAATCAAATCCAATTGAAAAGCTATTTCTTGGTGCAGAGATAAAGAATTGGATAAAGAAAAAACCTAGATGGTGTATCTGAATCAAGAGATTATAAGCATTACGATCATCAACATCTCGATTTGTTATGATATCAGACCCTACTTACCGATGCAGTGTGACCAGTTAAAGAATGTACTAAGCTACCATCAACAGCATTCCAAACACAAATTCTGCAATCTGCATAATCATTACACTTATTAAAGAGCAAAATCGAGGTTTGTATACCCTAGTACTTGAAGCGGGATTAAATACAATATAATAAATATTACAAAAATGAAAAAAGACATGACAGTCTGTAACTTGATGGATGCAGTAGCCCAAGCCAGAGCATATGGTAGTTGGAATTAGGTGCTTCCTAAAAAAGTGGCATTATTTATGTATAAATCATGGTAAGTACTCTACCCATGATAGCTGCAAGCACAAAGCGGTTATCCAGGCTCCACACAATCATGTTAACACCACGAGGGGTGGGAAGAAATCTTTGACGTGGGCCTCCTCGAGGAGGCTGAGGAGGCAGTGGGGGAGGTGGAACTTTTAGATGATATGCACGTGTCCAACGTCCAACTTTTCCCTAAAGTGAAGAGAGAATTATTTTTAAAAAATGACCTAGAAATCAGTTGTCTTGTACTCATTCACATCAAATTAGACTCCACAAAAATGTAAATAAAAATACTCATTCAAAGCAGCTCACATGGAATTTATGTGATCTTGGAACCCATATAATGGCACTGCCATCACGAGAGCAGGTAACTATGTTGTTGTGACAAAACCTGAGAATTCAAAGACTGTCTTAGCACATTCAACAAAAAAGGAATATCGTACAGATGCTACACAAGACAGCATAAGCACAATGCAGAAAATATCAAAGAAAAATCATTTCAGACATATACCAGGAATTTTTGAACTTCCCATTAGTCTCCTCCTTGACCGAGTCAGAAAATGAAGACTTTGAAGGAATGACACAACCACTGCATAGGAAAGCAGAAAAGATTACATGAAAAAGTTTGAAAAAAATGAGAAGAAAAATTTCTAATAACAACAATAAACAAAAATCTGTTGTCAGAAAGAACCTGAGAGAAACAAAAGAAACGATGGAACAAAAGAAAACAAGAAATTTCAAATGAGACTTCACAAGACATTTATTTACTCAATTATCTTTGTGGAGTTTAGGAGCAATGTAGGTCTATGTGGTTTAAGCAAATATAGTGTGCACTGTCAGACACTGCCACCCAAAGCCGGTGGCTGTGAGCAAATATTGCCACATTGCCACAGAACCAAGTGACAGCTCATAGGTCACACAGTGCCTCTATTAGGAACCTCCGTTCCATCTATCAAAACATCTCACGTATAGAGGTGAGCTTATTCAGCCAAGCTTACCATTCTCCTTAAAATTACCAATTTGGTAAAGTTTGGTGTTCTTTTTATGTGTTCTAGTTCCACATGCGGTGAGCTTTGGATTTGTAATACACTGGGACATTGGAAAAACTGAGAAAACTGATTTAAAATTGACCAAATTTCAGCCAATTTCTGGAAATTTCAACACTTTCAGAGAAACAATGCAGCAAATATTTTATAAAAAACTAAACCAAGATGTTGGCAAAATGGCATAATTTCATCTTTCTCCAGCGTCGTACCCAGTGCACAAGGCTCCCGCTTTAGGCAGGGTCTAGGAGAGGTGAATGTCGGCTAGCCTTACCCCCATTTATTTTTAAGACATTGGGACAACAAACCTGAATTGGACATAATTCACGTCATTCTCATGGCCCGCCAGTACATCCATCTCATGTATTGGTTGTTCTGAGTTATCAGTATTAGATTTTAAAGCATTCCAGACCTGCAAGTAGTTTGGTTTTGGTAAAATATCCAACTTCACATGTGACAAAAGTCAACCAATGCAAGCAAATCAAAAGGCAGCTGTGCACTAATCATATGAACTGATGTAAAAATTCCATGGTTAAACATACCCTTGCAAAAGTGTCAGAGCTACCAGTGACAAAAACAGTCCCATTGGCATTGTAAGCACAACAAAGTATTTGATGGCTCTGTGGACCATTGCTCGAGGAGGATCCAGTGATTGTAATAGCATTGCTCTTCCCTGCAAGTAAACATCACTTGATGTAAGTCCCATCACCCAAGTAAGGCAACAGTGTCAGAAGCATTATCTAACCAGTTGAAGTCTCTGAAGGTTTTGGCATGTATATTCGCAGCGGGCATTGGGAGGACCTAGCATCCCAGATTCGACAAGTCCCATCATCTGATGACCTACAAATGTCATTAACTCAGGATACAACCAGGGAAAGGGGAAAAATCTCAAAGAGCAATAACTCCAAGAATTGAACTTACGATAGAAGTTGGTAAACAGCACTAAGCCTGGGACTAAAAGCAATAGCAGTCACAGCCCCAGTATGCCCCTGAAGAACTGAAATTGGAAATCCATCTGGCAAACGCCACTGCATGTAAAATAACTATTCACTGGCTGATGCATAAGAAAAGAAGCCAAACTGACATGTTAAATGGTAGGGTATACATACAACTCGAATGGAAAAGTCATTTGAAGCAGATGCCACCAAAGCATTGTTCGAACTTACAGCCAAGTCAGTAATGTCTCCCTTTGATTCATAGAAAAAGAAAAGTAGATCATATAATACAGTATAACAAATGAAGCCCCCAAACAGGGAGGGAGGGAGGGAGGAGGAGAGGGGGGGTGTTTGGGGGATAGAGGGTGAGAGAAAGAAAGAGTTTGTAGATTATTAAGTCAACAATCTTAACTCACTTCCAAATGTCGACGAAGCATATAAACACGACAATAGTTGGCATTGATATCCATTAGAGACCATATCCCTTACAGAGTCCGCTATAAAATGAATCCTTTCGACAATTGCTTCGGGGTGTATATCATAACTATATCTCCTACTCTACTACTCGGTACCTCGTAGATTCTATAACAAGTGTGGCTAAGACGAATCGAGAGATAGTATGCGGTTATAGCAATTTTTCTGTCATGATAAGGTGTCATTTAAGTTAAATTTAACATGCAACTTCATATCTATAAAATAACATAGATAGAAAGCAGCAAGTAAAAATAATACTCTTAAATTACAATTGCAATACTCAGAGATTAATCATATCAGGATAGATAATAATGGATCCGAAATCATAGGTTCCTATTTCTATATATTGCGGGAGACTAACCTCAGATTCTTTTCGACACTAATACAAGCCACAACATACAGTTACTTGAGTCATACGGTATTGTCCGCTAATCGCATGTCAAATATCCTAACATATACATATGGAAAGAGGAAGCTCTTGGATAGTGTTACATATACTATAACTAGTATTCACTCATGGTGCATTAAATATCTATTTATCCCTTATCCATAAACAATGTTGATTCCCCATGGACATTAATTGATAGTTACCCAATCTAACTCCCTTTATATCCCAGAATAATTGTTATATAATCATCGCCATTCTAGTTTAAAGGAAAAAGTGAGTCACCACAAGTCACTAAGTAATGATACACGCAATATCATGTTGTCCAAAGCTAAGGAAAAGATACAATATTGTATTATATTCACAATTACTAGTTTATAAAGAAAACGCTTAGCCATTATAAATATAGTAGAGACACGCATTACGGTGCTCGTTAAAAGAGAAGTTCTATTCTCCCTGGAAGATTCACTTTTTTGTTGTTCCATTCGTTAGTTGTCTTTCCACCATAATATATACGTTATCTATCGGTCATAGCGTCATACGGCTATTCACCATAGCACGAGAGATCCGAGAGACTGATGAGCGCTACCCGATCATGACCATGAGTAACTGATTGAACACTATGGCTCTCAGGTTCTACACTTATAAACTAGGCCATCGAATGTATGACACTGATCTGCCTATATGTGAGCAGCATCGAGGCTGAGGCTCTGGCACGGTCTTAGCTGCCGTCTCTATTTAATTGCCTATATATCGCTACATAATCAAAGAGGGAATAAGATAACTTTCGCAGAAATATAAAGCTATCGAATAAACTGAAACCTTGCAACCCTATAGAATGAGCTACTTGGAGAATGTAAGTCTACCCATATGGGTAGTTTGAGGTGGCTTACGCAACAACTACACGTATGAACGTCCATGCCCTTAATTGTGTCACTACTAACAGATGGGTTGATATCGGATGTCCAGAGATGAGTAATGGATAATGACCCACACTATAGAAACAACGTATATCTATTGTGGATCGCTATATACGTAGCAGTTTCACTTGCTACTGATTAAACCAGTTGTAGTCAATCAAGTTGTCTGAGGGGTTAGACTTCACATTGTTACCCTTTCTTGAGCAGGACAGCACTAGGATACTTCAAACAAGAGAAGATCGATCTAGCCAGCAAGTGTAACTGTAAAGGAGGGTACATAATATAGGAGTTAACCACAATCAGTAAAGTTCGAACAATGCATTGTTAAATTAAACTGTTTAATGTCCCAAGGAACTAATGAGATATCATTAGAATAGTAGACCTCATCAAGTTTGGAGACATCTCATCGTGTGTAATTGTATCAATATTTGTATAAATCGTACAGCGCACGAGTAGTGCATGAGAATTGGCGATTATTTGCTATTCATGTAATCAGCGAGCATCCATTACTAGTGAGGTAAAAAGGATAGAGTTTATGGCATTCCCACATATCTTGATAACTCAAGAAATCAGTTTCAACACAGAATGCTTAATGGTTGAGTCTCAGACAATATGTAATAGCCACGTAAAAGCCTCCTATAGTAAATCAGACAATTCTCCAGATATGCCAGAGTCCATATGCTTTATGCAGCTTCACAATCTCATCTGTTTCATAAGGTCTCCGTTTCGTTAACTCTAGTAGATACTGCATGCTGAATGCAAATATTGAATACCGAGAGAATTACCATGCTACATTGAATAATCCAACTATGAAACCCATGAGAGTATATAACTGAAGCGACATCGATAGGGCAGCCTTTGACGCATACAAGGTTGACGAGATCTAGGAAGAGTTCCAGAGGACGATTCGATATGGACATCAGCCTTAATGCCGTCATCCACCGATCAGAGTGGAGAAGTCACCCGCGACAGGCGGAGAGGATTCTTATCAGTATGTCAGGGACGTCTCAAGTTGCTTATTGCCTGAATCCAGAAGCCGTAGTGAAAAAGGAGGTGGTCAAAATTCATGTCTAGGTTGATGCGTTCTATCAATCACACCCTGTATCCAGAGTAATAAACATCTACCTCTTTCGAACTTACGCCCGGTACAGTCCATAGTACTTCAAGATGCATGACATGCCTTTTGGACATTCACCAGATTAATCTGATCCATTCCAACAAGTAAACAAATAGACCTTCCAGTATCCCCTTCATTCTGTATCAACTAACACGCTTCTCCTTCAATGTTTGTCAGCCTACGTCTGGCGCAGAATGCCCAGAGATAGCATACAAGATTCTTTTCTGATTCCCTCCAATGTGCTCATGAGCATAATTCTCCCTCCCTCTACTTCATGGGCACGCCATTTCTTGCCATCCTGAACTACATCCTGTTTGCACCATCAATTAAAACATTCAGACCCGCTAAGGTGGTGAGATAAGTAATCTGTGGCGAAGTTTAGCAGCCACCTATGACTCGCCTGAGGATATTACCCCATATTAGACCGAACCATCTTATACTAAATTACTACACACTCGTGAGAGCCCAACATCTGACCCACTCCCATACACAGAAAGGTTCCGCTTAAAACGACACTCATTTGGCTCTTAACACTCTTAAATTTGATGGCTTTCCCCTCTGCCTATGAAGAACTGGCAGAACCCAACGCCTATGCCTATGTAGGTGGCTTGAAACCATCGGATTTGTCGAGCGATCTTAACAGTACTATCGACGAGTCTCTGGAAGTAGTCCTGTTATCTTTGGGAAGTGAGAGGTCTGGACCGCAGCGGTCATAATCATTCTTCAGTATACTCATAACTGATCTGAAATGCTACTGGTAAGTATAGTAGAACTTAGTGAGTGATGGAGTACCCAGAAAGGATGGGTCGCCATAATTATCTTGAACCAATCTGTTAGGTCCTGAGTAAAGTTGCGTGAGGTTGCGTGTACTTATCATACGGAGTTCAAGCACAAAGCATAAAAGACGGTATTATCTGGTGCGGAACACGGCGGACCATTAAAGAACCATATTTTCACAATGAAAATGAGAGTGTAGAGGAGGCAGGACTAGAGTTCACACACACATAAGCAGGATAATCTTATGAATAAGCGTAGCAAGAGAATGAGCATTTGCCTACGCAGTCAGGTGAGAAATTCACGTTAATCAACAGTGTGCTTTGGAAACCCTTAATGGGGCGCAGACCTATAAAAATCTGCAACTCGACGGAGTGCTCAGTGTAAATACGATGAAGGCGCGTCAGACTTTTCTGCAGAAGGGTGCACTCTCGCCAATATGAATAGAGAGCTTCTCTTGCCAGAAGAGGGCCCGTGACTATGCATGGTAAGAGAGTCCACACGATAGCAGAATGGACCATACCCTCTACTCTTCTATATTCTCACGCCTGTGACAATGGCAACCCGGTATGATCCAATCATTCTCAGCACATGCTCTAGATTATGAGCGTATCACTAAATGGAGGACATATAATATATCGTAGATAGAAGATATCATGAGGGAGTAAGTTGAAACACATCAGAAAGTACGACTAATATCAGCACTGAAAACAAGGATTTAAGTAGCTTTACAAAATTACAAGTTCTATACAGAAAAATCCATACTCCGTTGCATGGAAGTGCATGTACTTACTAGTTACATAGAAGACTAAATACCCACAACCACAGCACGTTACAAGACCATCCATAAAGACCTTCGGATGGGTAACTCACTAGCGAGTTTAATTCTCAATGCGTAAGATTTTCTGCTCGAAATAGAGGTTAAGATTGTCAACCCGTAGATAAACACATTGGCTCATAGGCTGGAGGTGACCAAACGCCCACGCCACTTCACCGAGAGATAATCTTTATTTCCCGTTGATGTGAGCCACGAATAGCACATGAGGCGGTAGCCCATTCTCTAAGATACACTATCCATATAGAATATCTGCTCGAGCAGATCGAGCGACTCATGTATTAAGACCATCCATAAAGTATTCTGAGGATCTATTATCTTACCATTAGACAAGTTGCCCCCCGAGTGGAAGATTAATGTTTTCAGCAGGAGTTTCTCACGGTCAGGTCATCATCTACCCTCAGAATATATATAAAGGAGCTATACAGTGAACAGTGACTAGTGCTTGAGCAGTAGTATATTGGTAACACATGCCTAGTGTGTAATGTTGGTGCTGTGGCCAGGTAGACTAGCTACATGTACTTTTATTAAGCATTCGCGACCTCATAGATTGCCTTGCTCCATCGGAGATCCAGCAGCAGTCCCGTTACCTCACGAAATAGCTGCCGCAGGCCCAGACTCAATGACTAAAGGTCGTCACCCAGTGCCAAAAGGCTCCGCTTTAACGCAGGGCACATGGGTATGTGAAAATGATCGCAACTAAGTCACTTTGGATTTAGAAGAGAAGTGACAAGGAGTAATGCCTCTATACCCCATGAACCTAGTATTTAGGACAAAGGCTGCTACCCATAAGACTAGCTAAACAATGGAGTTCTTACTTTCAACAATCACAGTGTTAGGGGTGGTGATGACTGAACAGACGTCACAGATATATCTAGGATG